CTGAAGTTCATCACACGTGCTGCTTGCGCTGTCACTCGAACCTGACAGCCTCTGAGAATTTCGCTCATCGCCAACCGTAGCAGGCAGTGATGGAAGACATGGCACTGAACAGCATGCTTTCACTTTGTCTGGAGCACTGGTTGCTGCGTCTGAGGTCTGCGCCATCCAGATCTCCGGCCATCTCGGAAGGTGCGAGCCTGGGCATGTTTGTTTGTGGGGAAGGAAACCAGTCCTCAACCCGCCTAGGCCTCAAAACCCTTTTTGGCACGCCGCCTTTCGGCGCCCAAAGGCGGCTACATAGGTAGATGTACACTGAAAGAAGTCAAGGACAGGCATGGCTTTGCAAAAAATATGGAGCCACTGCTGAAGTAGGTGCCCCAAATCTGAAATCCAGCCAGCCATCGTCTGACCCCGAGGGTGACATAGGTTGAGAACAAGACTTCAGAAGCGGGCGGTTCTGAAACCGGGGAGGTCTAGGAAGCGGGAATCAAATATGAATCCAGGAGACAGGAACAAGACTTCCGCAGCAGATTACGTTGAATGTCTGGTCATGTCTGGTTCCTGTTGCGGAGGCAGCTGACCCTGAACAAACCCTCATGTGTTACATAGTCAGTCATCACACGCAGTGAGGAGCATCCACGCCTTGTGCCCGGACAAGTGGCCTTCGACGTTGCCGCTCGTGATTATGCCTAAGCTGCTTGTCGAAGATTCCGCGCACGCATGCAGCGGCAGCGCATTTCAGTCAAGACGCCGATAGGTGCTGCTGTCATCACGTCCGAAAAACAGCGTGGCTCAGAACAGTCTCCAGCGCTGCCGAAACGTCCTGGTCGTGGCCCATGTTGAGGTTCTCCGGCAGACGCGCCACAGCGTCGCCGATGCCATCAGCCTCTGCTGCCTCACGGGCTCGAGCTTGACCGTCCTCCGGCTCAGCCACCTTCACAATTTTGGCTTTTCTCTTCCCAGGCATGGCAGCAAGGCAACTGTTCCGTCCAGAAGCAGAAGCTTGAGCGCAGGCTTGTTCAAAAATGAAGTTGTGCGCTGACCACTCAAAAAGGCAGGCAAACATGAACTGGACATGTCACGCAATCGGACGCACGGGCTGCAAGAAGTAATAGCCCCCATGATTCACAATCACAGTCGAGGTGGTAGTACGAGAGATGCTTGTATCCACTAGCGCACGCACGACTGGCAAAGGCGAACGCTGCAGGCCTCGATGGTTGCGGTGCTTGCCTGGGCGAGCGCTTGCCAATGCACTTTCAACCATTGAAGCAACAATGCTGTGTCTTGCATAGGCATGTCCGGGACTCAAATTCCCTGACCCCTAATTGAGGCGACCTGCGGCAAACCTGAACCCTTAGACTTTCATAGCACATACTTAGAAGCATGTTTGGACCGTGCGCAATAGCAGTACTGGCTTCACACTTTTTGCCCACGGATGCCCTGCCCTGCACTAATGATCCCAAGAATGCTGCTCCAGAAAAAAAATTGCGCTAGGAGCCCTGGCAGCTTGCGACATGCCATCACTACTCGCTCGGCATTACACATGGGTTATAGAGAGTATTAACCTTAGACACAGCATGTGATGACGCTGACGACACGGCTGCCAGAGACATGTGCCATGAAATGGGGAGGCCTTGCCGCAATCAGGATTCCTGTTTCTTGACTTTACCGGCTGTACGTTGTTACGGGCTGCCCTCAGCAGCAGGCCCCGGTCATGACAACTGCGGACTTGCATATGAATTTCAGGAACGCCTTGCCAACAAACATGTTCGGCTCGTCTGCAGTCTGAGCGGCTTCCTCATCTTCAAACAAGCCAATGCACAGGTATGTACGCTTCTGCGCACGGAACATAAGAGTGCGGTCCACAAACTCCTCCAAAGATCGAATTCTTGACCACTTGGAGCTGGCGCATGCTATTGCAGAAACAAGCACCTGCAGCAGCTCTGGCTGGGACTCACAGAAACGGTCCGACAGAAAGATGCCGCGCTTCACTGCCACGGCCGGGTCAAAAGCGAAGGCCACTCCATTCTGGCCGCGCGACTTCGCGTAAGCCAAATTGCAGAGGATGCCCCCTTGAAGCCCTGCCGCCATCAGCACCGTCAAATCTGCTCGGCCGGGGTCTTCCACAACGAAATGGTTTGCCTCTGACAGGGTGGTCGTGGCACGGTTTGCAGCGAGATTGCGCAGCTCCACCCACGAAGAACCACCGGGCCTGGACGTCTATGTGGCGTGGCCGGAGCTTCTCTACGACCGCGCGCTCGCGCCTCACTCGGCCGCTATCCAGCTGCTGCTGATGAGTCTTCAGTGCCATAGCCACTTCGACAAGCTCTAGATCGACCTCACTTTCAAGCAAGGCATTGTCCAAGTAGGCCATGACCTTGTTCTTGTACATCTCGCTCTGCTGCCATGACTCCTCCTCCAGCACTGTTCGACTGAGGTATTCTCCGTTCAAGGCTGCTTCCATGACGGCGTCTGCATCCACCGCTTCTGCCCCCTCGCCCACCTGGCACCGGCGTCTCTTGATGAAGGCACGTTCGGATTGTGGATCCTGGCAGCCACACGCACGGAAAGATTAAAGGAGTTTTCGTTTGTACCCCTATGGTCTGTACCCTCGGGTTTGGGTCCGTAAACCATGGAACACTGCCCCTGATACGGCTATCTGGGACCCAAAACCTACGGCGGCAAACTATCAAGCTTTGAAAGACGCAGCTACTGTAACTAACTCGCAACACAACTGACCCGTTCCACCCCTGCCTTCCGTTTTGGCACTCCCCGATCCAAGCGGCTGGCGCAACTTGCGCGAGGTGGCTCAAAGTTCTGCAGCCAGATCTCTCGAGCCCGGGCACAAAGTGGATCCCGCGGACAGTGGTCGGGCAGCAGAATTAAGAAAGCCTCGTCCAAGGCCGTCCCTGCGTGCATGCATCTTCTCTCTGGCGGCTGGAAGCGCTGCAGCCTGGAGAATGACTGCTCCACACCTGAAGTGCTCAGGCCAGTGAAGGCTCCATACCTGATCAACACTTGCAGGAGTGCATCCAGGCAGTGCCGCTCGCGCACTTGCCGCCGTGCGCGTCGGCAGCGTAGCACAGCTGTCTTCCATGCATCATAGCTGGTGCTTCCAGCACTGGCTGCCTCAAATCGGGCCACTGGTTCCAGATCCATGAACTGCATCTTGAGAGCCAAGGGATCCACATGGAAGACTTGGGCTGGTCTCTCCAGTCTTGCTGTCCGCTCGTCTGTCCACACCAGGTCCTCTTCGGCTTTCCGCTTGCTGCGAATGTTGAAGATGGACAGGGCACTGAAGACGTCATGCCACGGAAACTCCTGGTGAATGGTCTGAACGGCCAAGCGAACGTATGCCTTGAAGATATCGCAGTAGTCCAGCAGCAGGTCCGATGTGACCCGATCCTTGCCACCCAGAGTCCGGGCCTCGTTGTCCAGAAGAAACCCGCGCTGCTCCTGCAGTCGGTCAATCATGAACTCGGTGTACCCAGATGTGAGTATCCCGCCCTGGCACAGGGTTGGGCGGCATGGCCATGCTTCGGAAATCACTCAGAAACGTACTGCCACATGGGGGTAGACCTCAAATACTGCTACCCCAATGGCAGAAATTGATAAAGCCCCGTATACTAACTAGTAGGAACCTAGATATAATACCCCGGACTGACTAGTCTACGACAATCGCCACGTGTCTGAAGCCGGTGCCAAATGCATACCCAGACTCAGCTGACACGGGGAACCTTTTTCTAGCCTTCAGAAAGTCTAAAATTCTTTCACCGAAATGGCAGAAATTCATACAGAGCCCTGTAGTACAGAAGGCACCTCAGAATAAAACCCCGGATTGCTGAGACGGAAAATCTTTTTCCAGCCTTGTTGATGAGAAAGTGTAAGCGATCGATCAAGCGAGCGAGCTCTTCCGAGAACTCTGCGGCATCGAATGTTTCTGTGTCTGCATACCGAAGAACTCGTATGTTCTCATCAGCCACATCAGCACTCATTGCCATCAGAGTGAGGGATCTCTCGCTGACAGTCTTGAGGCACGCAAGGCAGCGCTGCCGGTCGACTCCTGAGCGGTTCGCGGCTGCCCACAGGATCGTGCTGAGCATAGCATCCCACGTGAGGACAGCGCGGCCGAGCGGTTTCTGCAAACTAGCGAACCGATGCTTGGCCGCGCGAAGGTCTCTGACGCGGGAAGCCTTGACAGGAATGTCCTCAAGTCGCTGGCAGTGAGCGCGATAAACGCTGGCCAGAGCCGGGCTGTGCTCGATCAGCTGCGTGACGGAGCTTGCGCCCCAAATCCACTCCTCCAAGAGAGACTGGATAGGCTCTATCACCGCCCATGGCCGCTTCAGGACCCTGACAGATCGGAGGAGAGTTTACAGGGCTTTAGTTTGAGACCAGAAGCGTTACTAGCAGCCTACCCTACCCACCCCACATTTGAATCGCCAGCCTCTGCATGGCATGGGAGCTGTCGCGGTTGATAACTTTGGCATTGCAGAACAAGTCGGACGCCGCCATACGGCCAGCAACTGCTCATTCGAGGCCTTATCCGCGCAGAAGACCTCTACCTTCTGGTGGATGTGGTCCACGAGCGCTTGTTCCAGCACGCCATCAATGTTGCTCGTCGCGAAGCTTGTAACCATGCCACGCAAGCACTGCACTATAGCTGAGGCAGTCTCCCTCTCGTTCACAAACTTGTGTCCCAGAAGGCCAGTGCTCACATCGAGATTCGAGTTGCAGGCTGTGTACCGGACAAGCAGCATACCCTCGCGGGAATCTACTTTCATTGCAATGGACTCCGCGCTGCGCAGGGCTTCGCGTGCCTTTTCGCGGGCAGCCTCGGCCAGACAGAAGGTCATCTTGCCAATCTTCCACGAGCCCATGCTGTCCAGCTTGCTGCGCAAAGGGCGGCCTTCCTGCCGGTGATGGAGGACACTGCGGAAAGACTCCAGGCTCGGCGCAGCCATCGTCATGTCAGCATCGTCCCCATCCAGCCCACACTTAGCGGTGGACTCTCTGTGCTGCTTGCTGTCGCCGTGGCGGCGAACATTGCCCAGCGATGACGTCAACACTCGGCCTTCAGCCCACGCCGTGACCAGGCCGGCTTCCTTGCATGTCCAGCAACCCAGACCCCACTTCCCGTCCTCGTCCAGCATTGGCATCAGCCAAGTTCCCACCGTCCGCCCTTCCGACTCAAGCTTGGCCACCTGCAGCATCGAGCTAGCGCAGGAAGGCTTTTTCATATGGTTCTGCGCAAAAAAGAAACCCTTTATGACAGCCATGGCAAGTTATGACACGGGGCGGAGCCCAATGCAAAAATAACTGAATGGATGACAAAGCTTGCAGTTCGACGGATATGCATAGGCATGTACCGTGCCTTGCTCCAGTGCTCTTTCTGCCGGAGGTACAAGCAGCAGGGGCATGTGGATGGGTCATCGCACTGCTCAACATGCGCGATGTCATCTGACTTTGACGGTGTCGCCGCCGCCCTCTCCAAGTTCGGAACTGGCCGCGGTTGTTTCACGGACCAGCGTGCAATTGCGGGCTGGCACCACTTGTCGCTGGTGCTCGGCCCAGGCTCAGGCACCTCCTCCTCGAAACCCTCCAGAAGAGGCATCTTTTGAACTGCAGCTATGCGCGCGTTGCGAACCCTAAACTGAGTGACCTATATGCGTGAATGACGCCATGTCCAGCTACAGTTATCACACGCATGACGGGATTATGCGGCTTACGACATGACAGGAGCCATGTCAAGATGTCTTGGATACCTGGGTGCAATCGGGAGAGTTGCGCACTGCAGGAGCCAACTAACTGCAGCAAATTAAATGCAAGCTATGGAATAGAAGCTTGGCGCATGCAACCCGGAGGTCAAGGGGCGTGTTTCAGTACTGGGCGCAGTGGGCATCACTCTCACAGCTCATGTAAACAGGATTCTCAGCCCTAGCATGGCAACGGATCTCCAAATTGACGGCATGACTACTTACGATCACTCTGATATAAAATCAGGGAGCCCGACCGCGCGCAAGTTCAGCACGGAGCGTCCGGACCTCGCCAGGCGAGGAAGCACGTTTGAAAGCACGCTGCTCACTCAAGCTCTTACAGCATGTGCTATAGGCTATAGTCTAAAGTCTTTAAAGCAGGGTGATATAAATATAGGGGTGTATACACGGGATTATTGGGAGTATCAAGAGGGATCCTGACTTGCCCGTTTCCACATCCGACTGCAAGCAGCTGACGGCAAACAATCGCTCACACATTTTTCATGGCGAATAAGCTTCTGCCAGTCTAGAAGACTTGTCATGTCTGGCCACCGCGACTAGTAGCTGACTCTGCTGATGGCGATCGCGAGGACGCTCCACCATGTGCTGGCCTGGCCGGACTCGTAGAACTGCTAGATTCATGAGCTGACTCCTCGGACTCGGAGCTTGTGGACTCATCAAAATCGGACGGAAAATCAGAGCAGTCGCTGGCTCGCGGCTCCTCAGATTCAGACTCCTCTGACTCCTGAGAGTCTGCAGCATAATCATCATCGCACTCGATGCCTCGACTGTCAGAAGTATCATCGTCCAGCAATTCTGGGCGGGTCACAGCTGGCTGATAGAACTCTCTCTGCGTCCGCTTTCGTGTCTTTCGGTCTGCACCGTACACATCAAAAACTGGTCGCGGTGTAGGTTCAGGATTCAGAGATGGTCTGCGAGCCGACGCAGATCCCGAGTTCGCTTGCTCCACCAAACGCGCAGCCAGGTCGTACTTTGAGCCTCGAACCTTCAAGCCGTGCTTCTTGCAACGATCTCGCAGCTGACGCAAGGACAGTTGCATCATCTCTTCCATGGTGGCAGCTTAGGAAGTGGTAAGGGTAGGGGAGTTGCATCATCTCTTCCATGGTAAGGGTAAGGGATTTAGGGATTCGGGCTTTGGGATTTAGGATCTGCGCATGCAGGGCTTAGGAGGGCGCAGGGTTTCATGGAATTACGTTAACCCATCTTGCCTTCCAATCACAGTTTGAGCAGCTCTCACAGTTTGAGCAGAAAAAAAAAACAGAGCGGGCAGCCGTGCAGTACCTACCTCTTCTGCCGTGTTGGCGCAACGCTTGTCAGAGTGCTCGAGTTTGGCAATATATGAGGCCCCGGCGTCATCCTCGTCTCCAGCGTCAGACAATGCCCCAGGGGCCAGAAGGCCCGGCTACCCTGATACGAGAGAATTGTACTTGGGAGTCCACCCTCAGACATCTTTTTCTGAAATCCCCAAGCCCATCGGACCCATCACTACATCATCATGTCTCCCTGGCCCTGAATGGGAAGCGAAGATAAAGACCCAATCTTGGCGAAACAGAAGTAGACTATAACTTGCTTCCAGTTGGGTAGGTTTCTACAGGATTTCTGAATGAGGTTTGGCGGTTTAACGTCTAGGGCGCACGCGGGCTCCAGCTGGTTCAGTTGCGCGACCTCTTTATGCTTCGCCACGCACTACTTGAGGTTGAAGTTCCCAACACAGTTATACAATATCTGCAAGGACCGGCAAAGGGAGCAAGAGACAAAGAGAGAGAGAGAGAGAGAGAGAGAGACAGAGAGAGAGAGAGAGAGAGAGAGAGATACACACACACACACAGTCTAAAGCACAAAAGACTTCCGCATTTAGGTTTAAGGACGAGGCTTGCGGATTGCGGAAGATGGTCCTACAGACGTAAGTATGCACGAGTCTTCTGACTTCTCTAGCCTTCTCAAGTAGGAAGCTCCAGAGATGATAACCTAGCTTGAGCTTACCTTATGGAGACTTTAAGGAGACACCTAGCTTCATCGAGAATGTCGGCATGTGCTCGACGCCATCAGTTGATGCATCAGACGGCCCCTTGTTTTATTTCGGTGGCTAGGGTTCGCCAACCGACGTACATATGCGTCTTGCAGAACGCTCGGCTCTGGACGATAAAAGTGGCCACGCGTGCCAGTGAGCAGCACTGGCTTGGTGCACTGAATCTCGTTGACGTCAGCGACTGCATCCATCTTCTTGCGCGATGGTGACCGAGCCCTTGCCAGGGTAGTTCGTCTTGGCATCATGTGAGTGATGCCGTCTTGCATCTCCGTCTCGACCCATGAGATAGCCGTCCAGGCTAGAGTGACACGCCAGCATCTGGCCAACTGCCATGAGTAAGGAACTCTAATTCCATGTCCCTGAACCGCTTTGTTGTGCTCCTTCATGTTATTTCTTTTACAAATGCCATCTTGCTAAATACCGCGATTCTCGAACCCAAATCCCCGGCACTACAAACTTCACGCTCTGAACTTAAGATCGTTTAAGTTAAGGCTGCGGGCAGTTTAGGGTCTTAGCATGTGGGAATTCCACCGCTCTGAACGTTGAAATCCTGAAGCAATGAGCCTTCATTAAGACGGACGATGATTCCCCACCCTCCGAACGCGCGCACTCCGCAGCCACCCTTGTAAGTGAAAAGGTACCCTGAACTCCTTGCTGAAGCGCCCTCTCGGGGCTGTCTTAAACTTGCCACACCATAAATGACAAGCCCCTCCACCAAAACCCCATAACAAGCACAGGAACTCTGATGAAAAGTTCTGGCTACATAGAGAATCGAACCTTCACTCTGGAACACGAGGTCCTACTGATCCCTGGTGTAGATTGAAGGACAGGAACACAAACCCACCCTCTACGTGCGTGACCACAGCCTCCCCTCTAATTAAATATCCTCAACTCCTTGCTGAATCAACTGCTCCGTCCTGTCTGAAGCCTGCCAAACCGCAAATGAGAAGTCCCAAAACCTATGCCCCACAACAAGCACATGAACTTTGAATGAAGTACGTTGCTAGAGGTCCTGAGCCCTGGATACCTTCAACTTCAACTTCAAGCACGATCCCCAAGTCCGACTCTAAGCCTGCCACACCGAAATAAGGGAAGTCCTGAAGCCACAAGCCCCAACTATTTTGGCAATATTCTGCGTGCCCCAGAAAGGTAGACGTCATGAAATGAAATTGTTGTTCTTTTCCCCTGGGTGTCTGACCGCAAACCGCGGTGGTAGCAAGGAGGACCGCCTGCCGAGCATCCCCGCAGCAGCAGCAGCACCAGCCCCAGCCGCAGCCGTAGCAGCAGCAGCAGCAGCAGCAGCAGCAAACTCACTCACTGCGAGCACCAGCTCTTGCAGACGGACCACTGCAGTATCATTAATATATTAATATAAAGTATAGGACGGATCCCGCTTCACTTCCCGCTTCATAGACCTCCCCGGTTTCAGAACCGCCCGCTTCTGAAGTCTTGTTCTCAACCTATGTCACCCTCGGCCTAGGCGGGTTGAGGACTGGTTTCCTTCCCCACAAACAAACATGCCCAGGCCCGCACCTTCCGAGATGCAGCGCCGGAGATGTGGATGGCGCAGACCTCAGACGCAGCAACCAGTGCTCCAGACGAAGTGAAAGCATGCTGTTCAGTGCCATGTCTTCCATCACTGCCTGCTACGGTTGGCGATGAGCGAAATTCTCAGAGGCTGTCAGGTTCGAGTGACAGCGCACGCAGCACGTGTGATGAACTTCAGGG